TTAAATATATATAGATTTCTAGCAAAGAAACAGGTAATCTTAAGTATATTTAATACATCACGGTACTTTAAATTTACAAGTACATAAAATCATGAATGTCCTAGCATGAACGTAGTAAATATATAAATATATATGTAAAACCCTGTACTATGTGTAGTATGTGTAGAAACTACCAAATTCTGACTGACTGACTGGGGATGCTGCTCCTAGATTGTGCTGCTGCAGTCGCAGTTTTTTTTTTTTTTTTTGGAGGGAGATGCCACAAAAGGAGACGCCAAAAGCTGTGTGTAGCAGGAAGAGGAACAACAGAGCAAGAGTCCAGGAGATGGAGGAGCTGCTCCTGCTGCTGCTGCAGCCTCCGAATCAGAATCAGCCAACGACATGCGCAATTTGTAACACAAACCAGTCTCTGCCAGCGCCCAGCAAACTTTCTGCATTCTGCAGTAAAACTGCAAAACGGTTGGAAGGGAAGAGAGTTTAAGGGGGAATCCCGAATCCCGTGACTGTGTATTCCGGGACACCCGTATATTCCCTGTATTCCGGGGGAGGTCAAGAAACCGTGGCTGCTGCTGCTTTTTAAAGCCAGGGGAAATGCGATTCTCTCTCCCGGAGAGAGAGAGAGTTCTCTATTTCTCTCTGTCTCGTTTGCTTATTTACCAAAATCATTGACAAAAAAAAAAAGGAAGAAAACAAAAAAAGAAAATGGAAAAGAGGAAAAATCATCTGGTTTTTTGGTGGGCATGGTCAAGGCAGGTCGGGGCGGACTGTCTGGATCTGAATACCAGCATATAGCTTCTGGTTAGACCGTACATATATATTATGCCGTACATGGTTGTGGCTGCGACTCCTGTTTCTGGCTCTACGCTATATTCCTTATTTCCAGACATAAAGGAATCATAAACTGTAAAATGTTATTATTCAATTTATGTCGGGAAATAACCATCAAAATTTCCTTTTTCGCGAATTTCTCAGTCTGATGGGGGCGTAACTAGTCAAAATTATAAGCAATTAGGGATTGAAAGTTTTAGCAAACTGAAAGGAAGTTTGTTTTATTAATTTAGGAAGTTCTAGGGAATTTTAAAAGAAAGATTAAAAAACGCCAAAGGACTACTATAACTTTAAAGTGAAACTGCTAGTAGAAAACCGTGGGTTTTTCAATTCTTAAAAACAAGACTGTCAAAATGTATGCTACTATATTAATAGTTGAGTCCTGAACCTTAATATAGTCCTCGAACTTTTTGTAGCATATTTTTGTGCATCTTCTCAACAGATTTTTAAATTATTGCATAAGGCTTCCCTGAATCTTGAATTAAATATAAATATAAATTAAAGGCCTAATGCCTAATGAAGACAGTTTAAAGTTACAGTTTTACAAATTGTAAACCTTGTAATATAACTGTGGAATTTTTTTAATTAATCAATTATTATTTCAAACATTTCTAATACCAACTAAGTGATATTAACTACAATTTAAATTAAAATTAGAAAGTGTTCTTAAGCAGATCATTGTTAATCAATAGTAAAACTTTCATTCAGTAAAGAAACGATCATTGTTAACAATAATAAATAATAATTAGATATTTAATATAAGTTTCAAAGCAATAAATACAACATTAAACTGAAACCAAACTACAAATCAATATGTTCTAATGTTAAAGAAATGTATATTTTTATTAATCACATATGAGAGAGTATATAACACAAAAAGCAATACACCAAATTAAATATCTGAAAATATGACTCTTAACCAATTAGAAAATATAATACATTTTAATAATATTAGATATATATTTAATCCCCTCACTTACCTTGCTAAAGTAACCAACAATATGACATCCATCCACATCGGCCATGTCATAATGTAAACAGAAATGGTCCACGTCGTAGTAGAGTGTCTTGTGGTCCAAAAAGAACTTGGCCAGAAGGCATAGATGCTGGCAGTATTGCTTATACCGCTTCCCATCCACTGCCACACCTGCAGTTTACCCTTCCGGTAGATCTCATCCCCGGCGGATGACGCCAGACACACTTCTCCGCATGCCTTTTGATGCCAGTCTCCGATTTCTGGTAGCGCAGGCAAAACTCACAGATATACATCTTTGGCAGGCGGGCGGCATCATCCGGATAGGGGGATTGATACCACACCTTCATCTTGTACTTGCCATGCTGATGTATCTGGAAGTAGGTTTGAGGAGACATGTAATTATATTCAGAGCTTGTGTATTTTCGAGAGTTCCACTTACTTGATACCTTGCCACCGGCAAATCCTTTAGCTCGTCTTCTATCCTTTCAGAGGCCTGGGCCTGAGCCTCCCGAAACAATTGCAGGTCGTAGTCGGGCACAGACCGGACAGATTCGGTTCACGGTCCTCATCTGTGCAGTCTTTTTCAAGCTTAACCTAAGGAATAGATTAATTAGAAAGTTTGTTTGGTTTTCCTAGATTTAAGTAGGATTTTTCACCTTCGAGTCCAGAAATTATTATTGGCCGGCCTAAGTTGGCCCTGGATTCACGAATCTTGGCCAGAAATTCGCGCTGCTCAGGCGTCAGGGTCTTGAGATGATTGGGCTGCTGATTCCCCGGCGCCGTCACTATGTTTACGGGCATTTCAGCCTTTGCTCATTCCGTAGCTTTCTCTCATTAGCTCGCTCCTTGCACTCTGAGGCGGACATATTGTGATAGATGGGACAGGCTTCGGGCAGGAAATGCCTATCTAAGTTGCCGCTCAGGTGTCCGGATGAGTCACAACCCTCGATGGGGCACTTCTTTCCGTCTGTGTGATGGGTGAAACGGGTCGGGACTTGATGGAGCTAAGTACTCCACTGCTAATTCCTATAGACTCCTTCTTCACTTTGCTTTTGCTGGCAGCGGAATTCAAATTCGAGGGTGTTGCCACAGGCTTTTTGGCGGGACTCTTCGAGATTGGCACCTTGTCATCGTCCAGGTCGCCATCGGACTCGGAATCAGTTTCTTGTTTTGGCTGTTGCTTGGATCTTCGCATGCTGAGAGATCTTGTGAGTTTCCTCATTGGATTGGCCTTATCTTTACGCTCCTCTTCGCTATCAGAGTTTTGTATTTTAGCAGCTCCACCTGCTCTTTTACCTATTAATAATTATAATGTTTTAAATCTGCTTTATCTGTGAGAATAAAATATTTACCCTTGGCTGCTCCTCCCTTTGCTGGCTGCGAGCTGTAGGAATTACTGGAATCGGTGCCCTCCGAATCGCTCACCGAACTGGAATCATCTCCAGAGTTGGACCCACTCTCGGAGCCCGAGCTTCCGTCACTGCTAATTGCTGGTCCATTACCTCCTCCACCATTTTTCTTGGCCGGCGGCAGTTTCCCCGAATCTGTTTGGCCTCACCGTGCTGGCCATCTTCACGGGAATCTTGCGGCCATTCTTTACAATTTTCATGGAGTCATCCGTGCTGTTCGAGGAGGAGGAAAGCGACGGTCTCTTACCCTCGCCGTTTTCGCGGGAACGGTTGTTGGCATTTCCGGTTCCCGATCGCTGTGGCGGATTACTCGGTTTGCTTACTGGATTGCTGGTTTGTTAACAGCCGCTGGCGGTTTCCTGCGGACCGTAGATGCTGCAGCTGTTGCCGTCACCGTGGAGCTACCCAGCGAACGTGCGTTCTTTTTGGCCGGCGGTGCTTCCTCATCGTCGTCATCATCGCTGGATAATCTATTGCTGGGGGGATTCGGAACTTTTCGGCTGGTACTCGGTTTGGGTTTATCTTCCGCTGCCGGAGGAGGGGCTTTTCTTCGCGGCGCACTTCCGGAATTCGCTGGTTGTTGCTGCGCCTGTGTCTGAGATTTCGAGGAGGATGGCTTGGTTTCCTCCGGCGTCGCACTGCTGGAATCTGTGTCCGAGCTGCTGCCCGTGTCGGAGCAACTGGTGGAGCCGCTGCTGGTGGAGCTGCCCGATTCGGAGCTGCTGCTGCCGGACTCCAAGGCCATTTTTGAGCGGAACAAAAACCTATCAATTTTCGTACACAAAATTCCTTGTTTTTTATTGTTTGATTAGAGTGACCAAACGTGTTTGGTATATATCGATTGTTCTTGTGTTTACCAACACTGATGAAAGGTATTAGGAATATATAGCAGATATCATATACGACTAAATAAATACATTACTGCAAAAATAACAATATAAGGAAGCCGATAAATTTAATTTAATTTAAGAACTTTGAATTGAAAATCAAGAACATATTTTTAAACCGACTAATGTGTTGTAGTAGTTTTTGGTATATTATTCTGCGCCTAGCTTGGAATATTTAACAGTCGTTCTACGGTCTCACTGTTAATCAGATTTTCTTTCATTTTCAAAAAACATCAACATAAAATCCTTTTAATTACATTTATAATGTACAACGTGGACTGCATTGCAATTAAGGACATCAAGCCAGGTCTGAAGAACATCAATGTCATCTTCATTGTGCTGGAGGTGGGCGTGGCCACGGTGACGAAGGAAAATCGCGAGGTGCGAAACTTCAAAGTCGGCGACCATACGGCCTGCATAAATGTCTCGATTTGGGACGAGCCGGGAAAGCTCATACAACCCGGCGACATTATAAGACTAACGAAAGGCTACGCCTCCATTTGGAGGCACTGCTGACTTTGTATTCCGGCAAGAACGGAGAGGTCTTCAAGATCGGAGAATTCTGCATGATCTTCAATGAGGGCCTTAACATGAGCGAGCCAAAGAGACCGGAACAGCAGGCGGTGGCCAATACAGGCGGACCAGTTGCTGTTGGATTGCCAGCAGGTGGTGGAGCACCTGTAGCTGCTGCCGCATCTGGAGTACCCACTCCCCAGAGTCCAGCAACAACTGCACCAGTGTCTGCACCTCCCAATACGCCACAGGCGGCAGGAAAGCAGGGCACACGCGGCGGAAGAGGAGGCGGAGGACGTGGCGGCCTCAAGGGCGACCGGCGATAAACATTAAGGGATTATCATAGGTTTATAGGGAATCTAGGCGTAGGAATATTAATAACTTGGTTCAAATATTAAAGGCTAAGTTTGCGTGTTTTATTTTTGAATTTAATTATGTTTAAAACCTTTTTAAAAATTATTTTCTGTGCGAAAAGCTGGAGGATTTCCAGAATTGTTGAGTCCGAGGGTTTCAAGCTGTCAATATTCATCTCTATAATTTTTATTAAAATATAGCAGAACATGAAATAGATAATACAATGTTCGCAGTTTATTCGTTGTATTACGACCCTTATAAATTGTGAATTATAAAATTACTTATAAAAGTTATTATGTAAGTAATATTCCAAACTCAACATTTATATAGGGTTTCGTAAATTTGTAAAATATTTAAGATAATTTTTAGATAACAGGTTCCAAGCATTCTGCAGGGATTTTCTTAAGTTCAACAAAATTCTATATTTTAACTATATAAAACTATGTACATAAATAAATAATTAAAGACCCCATAAATTGTATATTTAATTTAAAGCAAGAAAGGAAATTAAATTCGTTACGCCGAAGTTTGTATTCGATCACTAGGAATTAATACAATATACATTTTACATACTTATGTTAAAAAACAATAAAGTACTGCCAGCATTTATTTCATATACCTATACATTTTATATTTACAGTTTTGCATTTTCCTCTATTTATAACGATCGTTTGTATGACAGCTATATGATATAGTAGTCTGATTTTTATAAAATTTTACACAAACTTATAGATTAATATATAAAGGCTATATATCAAATTTCATGAAAATCTATTGAAAACTGGAAAAGTTCTAATTTTTTCTTAAAATTTTCGATCGTTCCTATGGCATCTATATATATATATGTATATATATAGTCCACCGATTCGCCCTGTTCCGACTTATATAATGGTAAAAAAATATAGAAGAATAACTCCATAGTTCCTTCAAATAGCTTGCTCTTAAATTTGTTCCAAAACAAATCTCGCACATGTGGGCTTATGATATGATTCTCAACTTGTTCTAACATCCCTGCAACGAAGTGGCTTCTGCCGGCCAAGCCTCAGAAATGTGTTGTGTTACAAAAGTTGCAAGTCATTGTTTATTAGTGTTCAAATTTAGTAACTGATCATACATACATACTTACTGGTCAAATATACTTAGTGATCATAGTTAATTACTGCTCATAGATACTTACTGTTCGCAGTTGCTTAATGTTCATTAATACCTACTGATCAGAGTTACTTACTGCTCATAGTTACTTAATGTTTATTGATACCTACTGATTATAGCTAATTACTGATCATAGTTCCTTATTGGTCGAGATTCTTCCTGATCATAGTTAAGTACGGATTATAGTAACTTACTGTTCAGAGTTACTAACTGCTTATAGTTAATTACAGGTTATAGATACTTACTGATCCCACTTACTTACTCCTCAAGAATATATACACTTTATATGGTTGGAGATAACTCCTTCACTGCATTGCATACTTCTGATTAAAATTTTAATATTCTGAAAGGGTATAATAATTTTTAAAAATAATGAACCAAATACAAAATCATTTTAAATGTTGTATTTATGTTTTATTTGGCATAATCAAAGACACAAATAAGAATTCCAAAGATAATTGTCGAGCATTTTTCGGATGCGACATTTACAAAGCGATTTAATTGTTGTATTTTTATTATTGTGTGTATGTGTGCGTGTGTGAGTGGGTTTTTGTTGTGAGTGTGCGTGTGCTTGGAATTTAGCTTAAGCTTAATATCCTCTGACGATCCTTAGGCTTAGGCCTTCTTCTTCTTCTCGTAGTAGGCCTGCACGGCTTTCAGGAGCCATCCAACCTCCTCGACGGTCTTGATCTGATAGTTGGCATAGGTCTTCAGCGTGGGCAGCTCAGAGACACGGAAGGTCTTGCCAATGCCATGCAGCACCTTGATGGCATCCTCATCTGTGGTGTCATCGCCCACATAGATGATCTTCAGGTTCTTGGCCCAATCGGCTTCGAACTGCTTCTCCAGGATCATCTTGGCACCCTCACCTGGAATGGAGAGGAAGGAAAAATATTATTATTAATTTTTTACATAAGTTAAAGGTGGAAAAATTCATAAAATGCGGTTCAGAAGTATTATACAAAAAATAAATAATATTTTTCGGATGTCTTTTTAAATTATACACTTATTAGATAGTAAAAACTTCATATATAATATAACAAAATATAATATGAATTGTTTAAACAATTTATCAAGGTTTTCGATATGTTCGATAAAATATCAAGAGCGATATTTTGTAGTATAATAATTCGGAATCTTTAAGTCTATATTAATTTCTATCCACTATGCTTTGATATTCATTCTTTAAATATAATTTTATATAATTTCAGACACCTTTCTAATTATTCTTAAATATGTATTGAATATATAGTGGGTTCTGTAGCATATTTGTATATATATATTTTAAATCGAACTCTATGATATACCATATGCTGATCATTATCTAAATTATGGTTAATTTTCTTCATCAGCGGAAATAAATTTATGGTTAATTTTCTTCATCAGGCGGCAATAAATGCCAGATTTAGCTAAAAGGTTACCAATTCTAGAATCCATTATCATAAATAAGTTAAGCAAATGATAAAATGGAATATATATATACAATTAGACTAATACTCAACAAGTGTTTACAAATACATTTTGGAGCTAATTGATTATTTTGTGTACCTTAATATTCAATGTTTTTCAGAACAAATAATTTTAATTAAAGGTTTAAGGCTTAATGATTGTTCATTTTTGTGTAATTTAAGATGGAAATCTGAGACTTTAAGCATCTATAATATATTATTCAACTTTGAAATTTATGTACAAACATTATTTATTTTGAAACAATGCAACCTGCCGTAAAACATTGCTCCAATTATTGTGGAAGCCATGTGGATTTTATAAAAACAACTATGCACTGCTGGAACTCATCCAAAATCGCTCAATAAACAACCGAGAAGAAGCCAGGCAGGCAAACAATATTTTCAAATGTCTAGAATTCCGCTCGGCACACATATTAGATCATATAAACCGCTCCGCTTGCAACCGGACCGAATTTTCCTAGCCAAGCAGCCTCCCTCAGTCTTTTCCTCCTCCACCGGATCTCCCCAGAATTATTTTTAGGTGTCTACGTGGCGGATCTTCTCTAGTTTTTTTTCGGTTCGGTCAAGTAAATGAACTGAATGTTTGCCTAGAAATGAATTTCAAATCATTTAGGCTCCTCGGTACGCAGTAAAAGTCAGTACATAGAACATACATCTACCTCAACTCTTGATTATTCTTTAATTATGTTTGGTTTTGTGTTCAGCGATTAACGCCACATTTCATTTAATTGGTGACGCAGTCTATGAGTAGCAGACATCAGGGTCTACTATCCTCTTAACCCCTTAAAGCCCCCAGAAGATCGCACTGCACTTTTCACTCTTCTTTTTCAGACGGCACCAAGAATTCTTCATTTTGATTTTGCATGCGCCAAGAGTCGAGAGTTTAATATTTTCGAAAAAAGAAACAAATTCACAAAAAATATTTTGAATTTCTTTTTTGCAATAATTTTGTTCTGGCTGCTACAAATTTATTGCCTTTGGAGGCGTACACAATCATAATTAATTTTTCTGATTTCACACAAGAATATATATATCTGTATCTTTATCTGTGTATCTTTTTCTTGTATTTTGTCGCCACAATTTTGAGTTGAATGGTTGAGCATTTCTAGAGGACAGAGGCGACAAGTGGCTGCCATAAATCTCAGCTGGAGGGAATACAAAAATTTCTTATAGAGAGGTTTCTATACGGGAATGCTCAAATATTTATGATATATTTTTTTTGGGGATTTTAATGGGGGTCTTAAATAAAAAGTTCTATAAAAATACTCCGATATTTCACAGGATGTCATAAGTCTTTAAATGTTTTAAATGAATTTTTAAGCTTTAAAATACTCCCAAACTTAAAAAAAATGTTATTTTACAAATTCTCTTTAAATGTTATAAATATAACCCCATATATCTTTGAAGCCATGCATCGTTAGTTGAAAACGTCATCAAATTAAATTCGTTTCGCTTCAGTTTGGCTTTCATTCATCTCTACAAAAATTATAGATTCTAAAATTACCAAAATAAAATAAGAACTAAAAACCCTTCAAAAACATTTCTCCTGCAAAATATTTTGACAAGTTTTCTGCAATTTTTGGTGAAACGAAAGCGAAAACTGGTGTCGTTTTGAGAAATTACAAAGATTGTTAATTTATCATAAGGAAAATCGGGCAAGTGACTGACTATATATTCAAATATATATAAGCGACGACAAAAATATATAGTTTAGGCGCGCTTTTGACATCAGTTTTTGGCCTGCGGGTTGTTTTGTCTACCGAAACATTTTTTAAATATACATCTCTTACATATATCTTTAGAGTCATCAAATTAAATTCGTTTCGCTTCAGTTTGGCTTTCATTCATCTCTACAAAAATTATAGATTCTAAAATTACCAAAATAAAATAAGAACTAAAAACCCTTCAAAAACATTTTCTCCTGCAAAATATTTGACAAGTTTTCTGCAATTTTTGGTGAAACGAAAGCGAAAACTGGTGTCGTTTTGAGAAATTACAAAGATTTGTTAATTTATCATAAGGAAAATCGGGCAAGTGACTGACTATATGTTCAAATATATATAAGCGACGACAAAAATATATAGTTTTAGGCGCGCTTTTGACATCAGTTTTTGGCCTGCGGGTTGTTTTGTCTACCGAAACATTTTTAAATATACATCTCTTACATATATCTTTAGAGATTTTAATTTTGTCAGATTTTTGTGAATGCTGCAACAGTGTGTGTGTGAAATTTTTCCCAGAATATATAAGAATATATGTTTTTTTTTTAAGGAAAAACGCCCACGTTTGAATTCCCATCGGCGGTATGTATATAGAGAAAATAAAAAGAAATTTGGCAATAATTAAATCATCGAACCGTCGCGTCGAAAATCGAATTGTTTCGAACAGGTGCCGAAGTGCTGAAAATTTGAAATCTCAAAAGGAATGGGATGCCTTTGGGGGGACAAAGCGACAGCTCGCCAAACGGATGGCAACAGTTGGCAAATTGTTTAACGATGATGACTATATTAATAGTCTCTTTGGGTTTGGTTATACTTTCTCACTAACCTTTGTCCCAGTTGACACGGGCTTGCCCTCCAGAGCATAGGGGTCTCGATCAGCTGGAAGCCATGAGCCTGGATCAGAGCCTTGGCCTCTCCAATGAGCTTGGTCTTCAGTTTGTCGGTGACACCCTTGTAGTGATAGGTCACAGAGATTTTCTTGTCCTCAACCCAGGCACCAGAGCACACGACCTAGAAGAGAATTAATTAATACATTAAATGGAATTATTATTTCATTGAAAGAAAGTTTGTTATAGTTAAAATAAATAAGTTAGAAATATATAATAAATTTTATTCAATTAGAAGTCTCTCTAGATATTATTCAAAAATTAATTTATGGGTAATACGTCTCATATAAATTCTTTTTAATATAGTATTTTATGATCTGCAGAAACTACAAACATTCTAATTTAGATAAATTCCAAGGAAGGAAAATATGTATAATAAAGAAAATCACTTCATATAAACCATTTAGATTTATATATATATTTGTTTCAGAAAACCAAGGTTTCTAGTTATTATTCTCCTAATTTTGTTAATATTATCTCTGAAAAGCTACCCTATTTTTGGTATTTTTGGCTTTAAATGTATGAAATATTATTTTATTGTTCAAATAAAATATTTGTGTATAAAAAACTCTACTAAAACATTATTATTATTTGCTTATTGAAAACCCCTAAACCTTTTTTTAATATACCAAGCTTTCTTTTTTCCTCAATTTTTGTGAGACTGTTCAGTTTAAAATTGTGATTTTTATAATATAAAATATAAAATATAATATAATTAATACTTTACACTTTCAAATATTTTTTAAACTAAGCGGGCATTCATTAAGTCAACCTTTTCTCTCTAACTTGAAGGCCTTAGTCGCTCTGTCTCACATCATTGCAAATTAGGAATTATATTCTTTACTTCCACACAAATAAATAAATAAAATATCCCTTTTCTCACCTATTTTATACCAAATAAAAACTCAAATAAAACCCATTTATAAAATCACTTCTCTCACCTTCTCCTTGAGCTCGGCCACCAGTTTGTTGTGCTTCTCGAGCAGCTCCTCGGGCATCTCGATCTTGAACTTCTTGCCGGAAGGATACTCCACCTCCAGGCCATGGTTGCCGGCATAGGTGACATTGGGGAACTTCAGGTGGTTCTTGATCTCACTCAGTTCGCGGCCAGAGAAGACAACCATGAAGATCTTATCATTGGCAGCCAGTTTCTTGATGTTGATCTCCGTATCCTTGGGCATCACGGACAACTCCTCGGTGAGGGGAGCCAGAGTGCCATCGTAATCCAGGAGCAGGGCAACCTTATCCGTTTCCGGGTTGATGAAGCTGCAATCGCAGAGGGTTTAGATCCTTGAGCACTATCCTGGAATCCTGCGAAACTCACCCCTCGAGGGCCTTGACATAGTCCTCCTCCTTCTTCAGCAGCGGGGCCTTCTTCTGCTCAGCCATTTTGCTCTATATATATATATGTATCTGACGGATTTAAATTGTATCTACCGGATATTGCGCGCCGTGCTGGACGTTCCTCGACCGATTTAATACTAATGACCAACGATCCTCAGCAGCCACACATCGCCTGTGATCTATAAGTATCCACGATCCGATTTTCCTCTCATTTCGATTCATTCTCTTTAGTTTTCCTCTCTGTAATTGGTGGCAACTCTGGCCCCCGTACGTTGGCCAAGTAATTCCCACAATATTTATGAGGCATATGCGCATAAAAAAACACATTCTATAATGGATCTTTGGTTGTATTTAGAGGGATGTATATATACGGGACTATATACTCACGATTTTTGGTTTTCTTGGGGTTGGGGAGCATATAGTCTAGAGTATATATATATATGTATATATATATATGGTGACGATGTCTTTGATGCACCTTTGTTTGAGGTCGTTTTTGTTTTGGAAGTGCCTTTGCCTTCCCTCTCAACATGACACACTTTGTGGCTATCAAATTAGTTTGTTTTCCTTTAGTTTATACTAAGTTTTAAAAAGTTGTATTTGTAGCTTAATTATCTTCAATATTTGTGGATTAAAGGAATGGAAAATCTTTTATTGAATAAATGTTCTTTGCATAAAAACATTTCCTTTTAAATGATGTATTTGTTTCCTTTTGATCTTCAAACGAAGAGCGATTGCTCTGGATGTGTCTGCGAAAAGATTAATGAACAGTTTTGTATCGGACACTCTTGGAATCAACAACAATATTTATTTACCGGATTATTCAAATTGTGTTAACCAAATTAATCTTGACCTGGTTCTCTAAATTCAAGAATTTTAACTGAATATTTGCTGATATATTAGGAAAATTTTAACTGTTGTAGGAAATTTAAATGTATATAATATATATATATATATATATATATATATATATATATATAATATTATATTTTGTATATAATATCTAATCATTTATTTTTTGTTATTTTATATGTTGTAACTAACATATACAATTGCTTTAATATCTCTTATTTAAATATAGCACTTCAAATAGTTTTTTTTAGTAAAAATAAAGATTATTTCTTTTAATTAAATATAGGACTTTAAATTATTTTTTTTTAGTTAAAATAAATTTAAATCAGGCATACAAAATTCTTAAAATTAGGATACATAAACTCCAGCTATCCATTTTAGTAGATCAGTCATCACAGCCTGTTTGGGCAAACGGAAATCGGCAAAAGTCTGGATCTGAGCATCCGAAGCAATTCTAAAAGAGCGACCCAAGCCTCTGAGAACCTGTAAAAATATAAAAGAATGTATAAAAATATATATATAAAAATATATAAAAAATCTATAAAAAAAATCTGTATAGAAATACATTAAAGATTAATATAATTCCAACTCACCCTCATGGCATCTTCATCGGTGGTATCATCTCCAGCAAATACCACACTCACTTCCTGTGCCCAATTCTCGCCGAATTTTTGCTTCAGGATATATAAAGCTGCCTCTCCTTTGTTCCAGTTTACTGGAGGCTTAGCCTCTATAGCTTCATGAGCCTGATTTGGCCTAAAGCCATACTTTTTACATATCTCTGCCGCCAATACCTTCTGTTCATCCTTGAGTTCTACAGGAGTATCTCTGTAGTGATAGGTGAGAGAGACTCGCTTATCCTCAACCCAAGCTCCATTTTTCTCCACCTTTTCTTTGAGTTCTTTAACCATATTTGTGTAATTCTTCTGGATCTCTGTGGGTAGTTCGTAGTCGTGTCTGGAGCCATCGGGATACTCAATTTCCAGACCATGATTGCCAGCATATGTAATGCCTTCGATGTTCACCTGTTTCTGGACATCTTTTAGGCCACGTCCGGAGATAACAGCTAAGAAGACTTCGGGATGCTTGGCTATTTTGCGGAGAATGGCTTCCAGTTCCACAGGCATTTTGGTCTTGGAAGGATTATCAGCAATGGGAGCCAGAGTTCCATCGTAATCCAGGAGCACAGCTACCTTGTTGCTGGTGTTGAGATAACTGAAAAGGGTAAGGGAATATTATATTTTAATGCCCAAAAAGTTATATTAAAATTTTCAAATGATAATCTGTTAAGTAAGCTAATACTGAGAGCTATATAGAAGCTTTTCGCTTATCAGTAATTTGCTTATTACATGACACACTGACAAGGTCAGACTTCCGTTTAATAATTGAGACTTACCCGGGTAAATTCTGCTGGAATTCCTCCAGGTTATTAATAACAGGTGCCACTTGTTTTTCCGGCATTTTCTCTAACTCTGGGTTACTTCTTATACCACTCAGCAGGCAAAACCAAATAAATACTATAGTTTTCACTGGAAATTGAATGAGTAAGAAGAGGATTAGTTCCGCGTTCGGAGTTCTCTTATCAGTGTGTGTTGTTGATGTCTCAGTGCCTCGATTCAAACTGTGCGATTTCTCCCAACTGAGACTCGCTTTAAAGGCGCTCAGAGAGATAATGATAGTTTGCAGATAAGAAATCTAACTCTCACAATCTCTCCCTCTCCGTAATTATCACTTGCTCATGACAATCTCTGACGATCAATTCACCTTTAAACGTTGGATGAGAGTGCTCTCTAGGAGTGACTATCTCGAAACCTATCCCTGATGAATCTGACTTGTTGCTCCTCTAGTGGCTGCAGTTTTATAATGTTCCGTTCGTGGGTGATTTCCTCAAACATTGTCGCCTCCAGGTTTTTTTTTGTTTGACGAACAAAGGCAATGCCATCCAGATGCTCTGATTCAGTGCATCATGCGTTGCCTTCGTGGACGGTGCGTGCATTGCCTCCACCTCCCCTGCCCCCGCCATCGATCGTTAAGTTCAAATTCGAGGGTCATAAAACAAAAAAACCGAAATCCATAAATTCCACCCACAAGGCAGAGACATTATTACCCCCGTCTCTCCCTTGTTAATTAGCAATGAGAATGCAAATCCGGTTATGTCCTTGCTCTCGTCCTCGCCAAATCCCTTTGACGTGACGATAAGCGTGTCCCAGTGGGTGGTTTTCCACCCCTTAACCCCTGTTCGACCCCAGTGCGCTGTCAACGCGATTTCGGGGCACAAATATTTGCTACATGCAGCGGAATTGATTAGGCGACGGCGCAGAGAGTGACTAAAAATAGTCACAGCATGAGCGCGACACGCGAAAGCCACGAAAACGGAGGGGGTTAAAGAGGAGAAATTAGTGGGGGGGGGGGTGTTTCAGACGTTAAGTTAGGGTATTTTATTATAGGGGTTAATATAAATGGGGGTTAAGAATAATGCTTAAATTATGTTGTATATTATCTAGGCTATCAATAGTTCTTAATTAAATTTCTTTTAAATAAAGGGAAATATTGTATTCGAAAAAGATTATTAAAATTAATTAAATTTGCTAGAATTTAATAATAATAATATTATTTATTTTACATACCTAAAAGTAAATGAATAAAAATATGCCATACAATGTTTTAAAAGATTTATAAATCGAATACTACCTTTAGTGTCATACAAATAAAAAATAATTCGCATGCTTTAAAATAATAATTTATATGTATAGTTATAATTTAAAATATATACAATCATTATTATAATAGTATACAACAATTATTACTATAATAGTTGTTGAATTAATTAATTATTTATCATAAGCAAACAAATACAATAAATATTTAATTGTATATATTATATTAGATTTTGTTTATTGACTTTTAAAGACTTTGGGCTATTTTTCTTATTCAAAATTTTGAACATATAAACATTTTATATAGATTATTGCTTCGATAATTAAATATCCCAATGGGGGTTTTATGATTTTGTTGGTCGGTCAAGTCAAGTAAATACTTATCCAACTCCTTATCAACATTTCATTACAAAATATTCCATTGGCAAAGAACTTTTCCAGCAAGAGAAATTTTCCAGTAATAGATATTTTATTTCGAGAACTATATATGATAACTTTGATGTTGATATTAAAAAAAACAAAATCAGGGCAAACTCTCTAACATATCGTCAATTGGCCAAGATAATTCCTAGGTTAGTGCCACTTGTAGAAGTTGACTGCCAAAGTGAATCACGTTGTCTGGGAACCGGAGAGCATGCTCCAAAAACATGCTCAGACAAACACAGACGATGAGCAGACCCAAAGCAAATCCAAACTTGATCAGGGTAAACTGTTTACACACGATATAAATACAGTAAACCTTACTTAACTGAAACATTAAGCAATAATAAATATTTATAAAAAACAGATAAGTTTCTAGACCATTGAATACTGACCCGAAAGTTATAGCAAATCTTTGGGTTAATTTTAATTGCTTCTTTGCCAAATAATTTAAAATACTTCATATTTAAATGAAAGTATTTAGTAAATTGTTGAAAAATCATTCATAAAATATTTAGTGAAAAATAATTTTTTAAAGTAACTATACAAATACAACACGAATACTTAAATAAATCATTTTTAATAGCTTGAAGTACATAATGATATATTACTTATGCTACTTATTAAATATAGTATTTGGGATACAACATATATTTTAATAATATTTTTAATGTAATAATATAGATCATTATGTATTATTAATATATTATACATTTAAAAGTATCTTAACAAGATTTTCTTTTTAAATCTATCTGAATAACTACTTCGGTTACTTCTTGAATATTTTTAAAATTAAAAACTATCTCATAAACTATACCATACATGTTATTTAAAGAAGTTATACTGTTCATTTTTATCACATTGCCATCGAGACACGTTAAAAAAAAGAGTAAAAAAGGGGGCAGACAGCATGTTCATATCTAAAGATAAACAAAATATGTCAGAGTTGGAGTTCCCTTAATCGAATCTTTCGATGGGCACGAGCCCAGCTGTCGCCGGACTATATCAGAGCTGTTAATTTCGATCTAATTAATAGATCGATAATACATAGCTAATTTTCACATTGATAAACAGGTGTCTGGGTTACCCTTTTCCGCTCAGTGTACTATCTATGAGCAACAACATCCGAATCTCTGTTTGAATGTTTCCAATTATCTCACTCACTTTTTCTTCCAACGAATTGCACTGATTGGCCTGTCACAGATCTTAATTCACTTAATTTGTCAACTGAAAAACTGTCAATTAATCCAAATAAATCCCGAGAAAACGCTTTTGCATTTAATTTTTTTGGGTAAATATTTTTGCAATTGATCGAACGAAATTTGTTTTTCTTCTAATTTTTGTTTTGCTTAGCCAGAAAGCTTTTTTCACGAAGCTCTTAGATCAAGCTCGCTGACTCAGGTAATAATGAGGGTCATAATGACGAGGCGGGGTAAGATTTATTGGCGGTCATAAATAGAATTTTCAAAACACTTGGCGAAAGAGACGGTCAAAGGAAATGGCTAAGAGTAGCACACACAGTGTGTTGGGGAATCTCGGAAAATGCTAATTATAATAATGAGTGATTAGGGAAAGTGCGATAAATGGCAAAAGGTATATTATTATGGAAATGTAGTAGACAGTGGTGCGATCTTTATATATTTTATGGGAATAAAATAAAAGTTAATTATTTAAATATCTTTACTTTATATGACTTTAGTCTGAGGATATAGTTGAATGATTTCTAAAATACATAAATTTAACCGCGATTATTAAAGTCAGAAAGATCTCCGTTCGCAAAAGAAAGCTTTATAGTATTAATAACCTTTGTTGGGGCTGAATTCCAACTTGGGAATTTTAGCGACTTTTGGGAAGATCAGAAAATTAAATATAAATACAAATTAAATTACTAATTATACTAATTCACTATTATTTATAGTATAATATAAGATATATAATATAAAATTATATAAAATACATAATAAAAATAAAGATTTATGAATTTTTTACAATATTAAAATATATTAATTTATATTAAATTATTATAAGTTCTGAATTCCAACTTCGGAATTTTAGCGACTTTTGGGAAGATCAGAAAATTAAATATAAATACAAATTAAATTACTAATTATACTAATTCACTATTATTTATAGTATAATATAAGATATATAATATAAAATTATATAAAATATATAATAAAAATAAAGATTTATGAATTTTTTACAATATTAAAATATATTCATTTATTTTAAATTAGTATAAGTTCACATTTACTGTTTCCACGAAATATTTCATATAATCACAAATACTGTGTCTTTGAAATGATTTTAAGTAGTGAATTTCTCTTAATATAATTTGCTTATATTTTTTAAAATGGAATTATAAATTAACCAATTTCGAAATGATTTATTTATTGAACTACAAAATAAATACATTTTAATTAAGCATGAATAAATAATACAATAATACTTGATTTCTAATGCAATAATTTACATACAATATCCGGTTGTTTTTCGGATAATATTTTCTCTAAAAACCATATGGTGACAAATTAAGAATATTTTGTTTTTTTTTGTTACTTAAGCTCCAATTAACATAAACAAGCTGCTTTGCTCAAAAACATATTCCTCCCTCGCTTTCTTAGCTCATTTTTTTTGCCTACGTAAGTTGAGGAAAATTTACAGAGAAAAACAAACAGGTGGAAGGGGCTGTTGATGTTTTTTAACACCTTTCGGTCGTTTATCCCGTAAACAACAAGAATGCAAAGTGACGGGTTCGAAAGGGAGTTGGGGGTGAGAGGAGACGGGGTCAAAAGGTTTTGCTTGTAGGGGAACCGGGGCTTAAGGTGGACATTAATCAACCGAAAATCGTCTAAAAGGCGCCGGGGGTCAAAGGGCAGTCGAGCGAAAGGCGTTAACGTTAACGTTAATGTTGGCCGAAATTAATGTTCAGCTCAGCTGACAAAATCCAACCTGTTGCCAGTGTCGGTAGCAATTAGTGAACGTGCCACGAGCCGTTTCGATGTCAACAGGTTGCCACATGATGCACACCGGCAGGGGGGCCGGAGTGGGTGTGTTTTTCCTATTCCCCTGGAGGGTTTGGGAAATTCAGGGGGGGGGTTCAGCGCGTGCAAAGTCGTGTAAATATTTCTCACACCATGCGAGTGTGTGTGTGTGCGTGTGGGCGGTGTGTGTTTGGCGTGGCATTAGGGCATGGCTTATTGCCAATTACATGGAAAATGTTTGCATACCCCTCCCCCTTCTCCTAGCATATATTTTTTTGTGTTTTTATTAGGTTCGTGTTTGTGTTTGTTTTGTTTTGTGCGGGTCTCTAATGTTAAGTGAAGGTCAGCTTGGCCGAAAATTCAATTGCACCCCCACAGTGGCAGCATGTTTGTAATGGAGCCTAGGAAAATGGGGAAATATATATAAAATGCGTTAAATTGTTGGCAACATTGTAGCTGACTTGGATTACAAAATTGTAGGTCAACAATAAGCTTCCATTTTTTTAAAATTAAAAGTACACTTGAGGGTTTTTGGAGAAAGTTAAAAAAGTTTAAAGTAAAGTTTAAATGGGACAGAAAAATATAGAAGATGAACATTAAGGTTACGATTAATAATAATAATTAATTAATTTAAAATGATTATATACATGTTGTATTTTATCTGTAAAATAAAAATTAAAAATCTTTCCATTAGAGTTAAAAAAGTATTGCTGATCTGTACATTTATATTTATGCTTAATATACTAAAGGAACATTCCAAATTTAAACTTTGTGTGTATCTTTAAAAGTATCACAAATCCTAAGGTTTTCTTTAAATTATTTATTAATTATAGTTGTTCTACTTATTCTCCCTGCTTATACCACATTTGAATATTGATTTTAAAGCTGAGGTTCTAATAAAATCAAAATACATGTGGGAAACTCACGGGCTTTAAGTTTTTCTTGTTGGCACAACAAACGTTTATAAATAATAAATTAGCATAGGGAGTGGAAACAAGTTAAACACATTATAAATATTTACATAGACAAACTCTCCTGTTGTTACTTTACTTTATTTATGCAACCTAGTATATATGAAAATTTGTTTCTTTTAGCGACAAAAAAAAAACAATTTTCTCAAAACAATTTAAAGACTTTACTAACTTTGGGCTTAATAATTACAGTTTAAAGAAATGCCAAGTACATTTTTGTTTATTAATATATACTTTTATTATAATACATATTTATTAATAATTTTATTTTATTCCGGTTATTATTATTGATTAAATAAAATAAGTATACTAAATTGAAGTTATACTTTAAAGAGGCACAAACAAATATTTAAGAGGCTTATAAATATTATTATAAATATATATATATATATATATTTATATATATATTTATTATAATAAATTCGATTTTAAGATTTAAAGGAACCTTGTAAAGAATTTTGTGATATTTTTTCCAGAATAAAAATCATAGAATTTATTTAATTTTTTGTTTGAATTCTTTTTATTGAGCTCCCAATACGTGTTAACTATTTCTTGAACGGTTTTTCTCCTTTTCATTTCCCCATTTCCCCCATTTGGCAACATGGCAATTGGAAACATATGTTTCCCTCAACGGAAGATGTAGCTAGCAACATGTTTGCTATTGCTAGCGAATATTGGCGGGCTTTTACAATGTTTATAAACTTTTGTGGCGAACTGTTGCTGTGTGCGTATGTAGCTTCATTCCGCCACAGGCAGCGCAGCAGATGCGACGCGTCGCGGTCGCAGAGGAAAACCTTACACGAGTTTTTGTTGCTTTCGATTCTGCCCGGTTTCGTGTTATCCCTATATCGTATATATAAATATATGTATATAAAATATATATATCTTGCGTGCTGCATCACTTCCTTGTTGAACTCTTTTGCATTTTACATCTGTCCACATATCGCAGGACTTTGTTGACACCGCCGCCTGTGAAGGTGGTAAAAGTGCGGAAAAGTGTGGGAAAAGTGGGTGGCAGCCGCACTCCATGTGTTTTTTATTATTGTTTTACAATGGCAACGCATCGGCTGGGGCTGCGTCGCAATAAAACCACTTCGATGGCATTGGCAGCGGCACTAGTTGGATATATAAAAGCATAATTGCTATGAGCCAGCGGCTTAATACGCAACAGGAAGCTGGAGTGTCAACAAGACATAAACATTTCGGGAAAACTATTACAAATTCGGAGGAATAATAAATCATAAAATACAGGAAAAAGCCATTAATTATCGAGAACTAAAGAACGTCCAAAAAGAGAAACTATAAAACCAGTTTAATAGTTCATTCAATAAAAAATAATCAAAATAAAAAAGAGAAACTATTAACAACAACTATAAATATCAATTAAATAATTTATAAATAAAGTAAACCCATCCAAAATACAAACAAATTATTTACTAAAAAATAATCAAATCAAAAACCAAACAACAGGAAACCAAAGCTAAATAAAAAACTATTTATAAAAACCCATAAAGCAGTACAAGGAAAAAAAAACTAATAATCATTTGCCAAAAATATACATTAAAACAGTTTTGTGTTGATGCGAAATGTACAAATTTATAAATTAAAAAAAAAAAAAGTATTAGTATTCAATATTCGTTTTTGATAAATAATAAATGTTTCAACGGTGCGTATACTTAATATATATAAAATACCATATAATGAAAAAATAAAATATAAAATAAAATAAATATGAAAAAGACACATAACAAATAGAGAAAAAACCAGGGTTTAAAGAAACATTTAAAATATTTTTTGAACAAAAACTATTACATGTACCCAGTGCGTATACTTAATATTTTTAAACAAAAGACAAAACAAGCCAAAAAAAAAAGTGTTAACATTAATGCAACAAATGCTGTTCAATTATTAAAAACTAAAAATATAACTTATACTCGAGAAGAATAAGAATCTTTTTTTGATCAAACGGTGCGTATACTTAATATTTCTTTACAACTAAATAAAAAAATTGAATTTATGGCAAATTAAATGGCAAGAAAACTTTGTTTCATAATAATAGCCCAATAGCAACATGAACACATAATAAATTAAATCAAAAAACTTTGGCCTTTGTGCGATAGACTCTAGTTTTTGGGAATTTTGTAAACAATTTTAGCTCAGAGAGAGAAGAAGCAGTGGCATGGGTAAAGGGTAATTCTAGGGAGGGTTTTTGCCAGAAAATCATAGGTAAATAAAATTAAATTATAAACCTTAATCAGGGTGGGAAACCTGCGTTTTATATTCGTAAATATTAAAGTTTGCTGTAAGCTGCAAATGTGAAATTATTATTCTGTTTCTCCAGCAGCCGACCTTGACTCGTGTCTCGCCTATGGACCATAATTTATTCACCTGATGATGGTCCTCTGCGCATATATTTCTCTCGATTCTCTCGATTTGTAAATCATTATAATTGGCTTTGATTGTGGCCACTTCCGACAAAAACAGTCTTGTGCAAAAACCGTTTGACTTTGAAATGGTTTCAGCAAATAAAACAAATTGCGGTGAACGCTCGTCCATCTCGCTCTGTCTGTTTTTGATTTGTTTGTTTGATATGTTTTAAATTTGGCAAGGTCGACCCCCAGCATGTCTGTGCGAAAAGTGAAATGCAAAATATATATATTATTCATCTAATCTCGCCTTGGATTGGGGAAAGTGTTTACGACGCCACAAGATTTATTATATCAACACAACATAATCAGGGGATCGCAACACCTATGTATCTTCCGGCCACTGGGAGCGGCTCGCACCTCTGCCAAAGTGACTAGTTAATAGCACCCGATATCCAAAACTGCGGCCGGCTTTTACTTTGTGGCCGGTGCTTGCTATAAAGCCACAAACAAAAGCGTTTTATTGCCTGCCGACCGCAGACAAAACCAGAGACAGTAGCAAATGCTGACAAACGCCATAGCCGCAGGAAAAAAATGGATTCGGTGGGGAGAAAGCTTACAGGGACGAACTAGGGAATACCCTGGACAGGAGGAAGTGAAAGAAATTAATTAACAAATATTTTTATTCTAAATTATTAACATTTTGTGTGTATTTGTTCTATTGTAATTTTTTAATTATTAATATACTCCAAGAACACTAGAGATATTTATCAAAATTAAGAGTAAATTTATTGCAAAGAATACTGTTAAAATTCCCAAGTACGAATTTAGCCATAAAATGTAATAAATGTGGAGGTAGATCACTCAACAAAGGAGTAGTAAGTAGGAGGATCTTAGATTAGCAACTGAAGCACATAACTTTAATCAGACAATACAACAATATTAAATATAAAGTAATTACTATTTTTCAGGATATTGTTTTATAATTTCCAAGACCTTAAGAATATTTTAAACTTTATTATTTATTAAAATAAAATATTTATCTAAAAATGCATATAAATTAAAGATTCATAAATAAATCCCTAAAAATAACTTAAACATACTTTAATTCAATTTTCTTTAATAAATTATATAACTTTCATTAATTCCCTTTAACCTATACCCAAATTTTACCCCAAGTAAATCCACCTTCCTGTCCTATATACCCTACATTTAATCCAGGGTATCACAAATAATTCATCGTTCCAAGCAACTGACACAATGAGTGGGTACGACGAGTACGACAAGTGCATGGGAATTTTATGAGAATGGTAGGGATCATAAAGAGCAGAAAGCTGGAAGACCGTTAAGGGTTGAGAGGCTGGGTAATAACATATTACGAGGCGCCCTGAGTTATTGATATTTTGCATTCACAGCCTACAGACAAGTGGCAAAAAGTGGCAAGGAAATGTCGGAGACTGAAGAGATTTCATTCAATTTGCGGGTTCCTCTCTTTTTCTGATGCGGAAATGTTGTTCTTACCCATAAATTCCATTGATATTTATGAGAAGACCCAATTTTTATTGGAATCAAAGAGGAATGGAAATAAGTAGATAAAGGCCAAACAATATTTGATAATAATTAGATACAGTGGGTTGGGTAATATTTGGATATTATATATTTTATCGAAAGAGGAAAGGAAGTATTATGTTTTGCTTTTGGATATTATTTTTATAAGATAAGGAAAACACTGTAGGTCAGGTTCAAGGCTTTAGTTACTTTCCTTAAAATTATTTACATTTTCCTCCTTATTTCTTACAAATAAAATTGTACCTTTTTCAACCCTTTTGCCATATCATGTATCAAACTGCTTGAAACTTTTTAAAGAGCTTGTTGTGTCCTTCTGCCTTTGATGCCTTTTTATCCTCTCACTTCATATTTTCCCCAGTTACATATTTCTTGACCGTGACTTGGTCCTTTCTTTTTTTGTATTCTGTGCCCCGTGTCTATGTTTATTTAAATGGTGCTTAGTAAACAAAATGGAAGCACCCATGTGAGCCTAACTAAAAAAACATTTATGACGCTTGACTTGTATTTATGAGGCTGATTTAGCAATGTCTGCCGCCGTCTAACAAAAGAAGAAAGAAATTCCTTTTCTTTCATTTATTTTTATATATAAATATAAATATATATATATTTAAACCCCACTCAAGGTGAACGCTTATGTGAAGGAAGTTGACCGCCAACTCCAACCATTTTTACGCATTTTCAATTTCATGGCCGCTCAGCAAAACAAACTGAGTGAGTGAGTGAGTGAGAGAAAAACCAATGGCAACATTTATTGCTATTTTACAGAGAGCAAAAAATGAGAAAAATATATAAAAATATATTTTGGAAATTAATACAATTTAAAAATATATATAGAAAATATAAAGAAACTTCAATTATAGGGTTTTTGTACTTGTAGCGTAAGAAAGAACTTTTTAAGTAAAAATGTTATATGTACATAAATATATGAGGATTATATTATATTACCATAAAAAATGAATAAAAGTCACTATAAGACTAATATTTATTAATTTGTTTAATAATTATAATGCATTTATTTATTTATTATTGTAATAACAAATATTTTCCATTACCTTTGGTCGATAAAGGGGTAATAGGAATATATTTAAATAACCTTGGATGAAATTTGGATGTAGATAAAATAAAATATTATGAGCAATTAAATAATTTATATATTTCTAATATAACCAAATTTTAGGATCGATTTACAACCACAAATTTTCAGAATTCTAGCGCAAGTCAAGGTATAAAAGCACTCTCGATAAAGAAACTTGTTGTCTTTCTTGGATTTTTATTAATTGAGTAATGACAATCTGTCTTTTAATATTATATATTAAATTATGAAACAATAATTTATTGTTATTGTGATTAATTCTTTCAATAATTTCGTACTTATTCCTAACAACTTATCATTAGAAAACTCTCTCATATACCCCCATTTTTCCCCAGTGCATTTATTGTTAATGCTAACTCGCTGCTCGATACTGCGATAAAATGACAAGCAAAAAAAGAGAGAATAAAAAAAACAATACAAAACAAAACACAAAAAAAAACGTAGTAAAAGTGGAAGTGTGATCAGAGGGCAGCGAGACTCCATGTGGAGTGGGCAACTCCAATCATCAACAATGGTTCGCTGGCAAGTGGCGCACTTCCCATGACCTTAGCCGAAAGTGGAATTGGTTGGCACCATGACAACCCACATGGCACCTCCACCTCCACTGCACCCAGTCCTCCTCCTGCTCCTCCTCCTGCTCCTCTTCACCCCGACAAAATCCCCCATTTCCTGAACAACCACTTGTTGGTTGGGCAGTTTGATTTGTTTTCCGTGGAACTCCAAGCTTTGGCATAATCATCCTCATCAACCCAATCAACATCAACTTTTGGGCGATGACAACCACAACTGGCCGTACGTACACGTGTTCCACAGTAGGAAAGGGACACTGAGAGAAATTAATTAAGACTAGTGAGATATATGGTATTATATTAGAAAGAAGTTATTATCTAGTTTCTTGTTTGAAATATTTATAGTGAATTTATTTTGGAATGAATGTTTTTAAGAAGTTATTAAACATATTTCTTTGATATGTATCAATTTTAAAGTTTCTTATAGTTTAAATAATATTTCATTGAACTTCTTACATTCATCAATTGAACATAATATTACCATCTTATTATTACGATAAGACCTCTTCAAATTCTGTCCTAATTAAATTTCTTGGTAATATCTTGTAGTACTGGAATGGAGGTATAAATTTCCCTTAATAACTTATATATTTCGCCATCACTTATATGTATTCCTGTGTAAAGAAAATTGTAAAAAGTTGGGGAGGGGTGAGGGAAACTATAGAGTGCGGTAACTCAATCTTCGTCTGAGGTCCCGAATTATATATTTTTTGGTGCGCAATAGACCGTCGTGTGTGTTGGTAAATATAAAGAGAGAAAACAGGTCAACAACCCAAATAGGGTCCTAAGTAAGGACTCCCAACTCATACCTAGGCTTTTTACTTTCAATGCCTATGTCAAGGTCCGGTCGACGACATCCTGATAATTCATGACATGCGAGTGTCCTGTCATTACCAAGCACAAGGGGTACTCCTTTTTGTGGCAGGACTTAGTTGGGTGATTAAAGATAAGGTGCAAAATAAACTAAGGGAATAAAAGTGTCGCCGAGAATTTGGGTTAGTTTTTGGTAATTAGAAATCTGGCGTAGGTGTGAGGAAATTAATTAATTAAGCCTACGGTAACAGCTGGGATATTTTCAAGCTGGAATTGTTTTTTATTTTAGGATATTGCTATAAATAATTCTTGTATTTAGTTTGAAGTTTCTTTTAAAATATTATTTAATTAATTTTGTAAAACTTGTTAAAATGTTAATACAAAAAATACATATCTTTGGATATCAAATCATTTTTAAGCATAATGTATTATACTTATTTAATATTTTCCTTGACCTTTTGAAACAAATCCCTGTTAAAATACCATCATACTCCTATACTTTCCGTAATCCTTAGACCAGACTGCTTACATTTATTTTGGAATTGTACCCACAACATGTATTTTTCAAATTGTAAACATGCCAATCCCCTGATTATGCAATTTCACACCTAATTAAATTCCTGGAAAAAATTCTATTTATGTTCCAGGGCTCAGACACTTGATAATTTCGAATGCAAGCTTGTTTTTCTTTCTTTCTTTTGTATTACATAATAACCAAACCTTTTGAAAATATTGCCGGGGAAACCAATCGCTTCATTTGATTTAGTTTCTGATTTCATTTATTAGGCAAGAGTGCGAATGCCCTTAACCATTTTCTTGTGAAAATTCTGGGAACTCATTAGTGCGGAAAAAAATAAAAGCACACCTTAAAATCAGCTCCTCTTTCACATTTTCACAATAAAAAACCCCAAAATAAAAAGGACTCTGGACTGTGTTAGTGAATAAAATGGAAAAGCAAGATAATGAAATATAAATTTGGCAGTCTCAAAGCGTGTGAAAACCAAAACATGTCGGCAGATTAGCAGGCGGATGGAGGACTTTTCCCGGAACTTACCGTATTGTATAATTAATACAAATTAGCAGGGAACAGAAAAGTTTCTTTGGTTCGCACAACTGGGAATTAAAAACGTCTGGCTACGCAGACGAAACTTTTCAGATTAGTCTTAAAGCCCAGTCCCGAAAAACCACTTGATGCTGGGCATTACGTAACGCCTTGTTGGGCGGCAGTAGCTAGAGCTGGGAAAATAGGAAAATGCCGGATACTGTGGGGCGGAGAGAGGGTGGAAAACCGGGAAAACGCTTCATTAAGCACGCACAGTGTTGTCATGGACCGTTCGAGAGAGTGTTTGAGTTTTAAATCCAACTAATTAAAATCTACGCAGCAAAAACTTGGAGAAAACGTTCTCAGCATTGCTTTTCCTTTAGATTTAAATGAGTTGAGGTGAAGTAAGGTGAAATGAGCTTCTGTCTTAGTTTGGTTTGGCTTTCAAGGCCATTTCCAAGGATTTTTGCAACAATTTCAGATGAGCATTTCCAGGAATTGTAATTGAACTGGCAGACGTTGTTTGAATATTAAAATCAAAGACAGCTTTAAGCAGAAGCAATTATATACTTAATGGTTTATTTAATGAAGTCAAATACTTAAGGTATTTATATATAAGAGAGAGTTGTAGGAATAATAGAAAACTATATATGGAAGTAAGGGGAATTTAAAAAATTTAAATATCATAATCCATTTATTTAATTCCCTGAAACCTCAGTTGTTGTAAACATAATTCCCTGCTCCACATAAATCCAATGTAAACTACATATATCCCATAACTCATCTTTTGGCACGTGTCCTTTAACCAAGTCAGGAGCTTCTCCTGCATAAAACACACACTTGTTGGCCATTATCGAGGACTGCCCATATCCGTAACTGAAGGACACTGGAAGGAAAAAGAGCAAAAGGATATAATTGATATTTGATTGTTGTCACTTGTTGCTCCTTCTGCTGCAACTGTCTTTTGTTTTGTTTTTGTATTATTTTTTATTTTGCAATTTGTGCCATATTTTTCAAGTGCTTTGACATCCTGCGCTAATCGGCTGCCAGGGGAGTGTCCTTATAATTTATAGCATTGACCGTGACAATATTCAAGGACTCCGCCTCGAACATTTCCTTATATATTTATATTTTGTTTTTTTTTTGTTTGTTCTGGTCCTGTCTGGGTCTGCGGCTCTTTCTGGAGGACAACGCAGAAAGTGTCCAATAAATGTTTCATAGTTGTCGGTGGCTGCTGACATTGTTGACCTTATCAAAAGCGCAAATACACTTTCACCCACACACACACAGAAATCCTGAAAAATACCCACCCAACCACACCCACATGTGTGTAAAGAAATATATCCATGGGTGGCTATAAAAACACACAAGCCGAGCATCTTTTGTTGAGTGTTCCTGATGCGTTTTCGAAACAGGAATGCACATGGGAAAATGTTTAATTTAAATGTAATCTTTATATAATTTGAAAAAGGAGGAACACCATTTATCAAGTTTATAACGAGATATTTTTTTATTATAATAATAAAAAACCCCTTGAATAATTACAAAACACGTTTAATGGTTTAGATATGAATTTGTTAAATTTCTTTCTTTAATTTTAAATGGCATCATCTATTTTAAGAAAATTCTGAATTAAATTTATAGAAAATCTTTATAATCATTTATTTTCCAAGTGTCACTCCCCATTTCCCATTTCCCTTGTCTCTTGTCCTTTTGTTTCGTCTAAAAATTTGCAATAATGCTAAGGAGTCTTTGGCCGAAATAAGAATGTGACTTGGTCTAGTCGGGGAATCTTTGCCCTGGGACAAATATTTGATGTGGGTTAGGGGGGCAAAAGCCAGCCACAACAGAATCAGGAATTCGGGAGAATAAAGGTTATGTCAGTCATTCTTGGCAGACATATTGTCTCGGAAATAGGAGAACCGTAAAACCAGATTCAAAGCATCTTTGGTACATTTTTTGAAATGAGGTGGAAATGAGGGAATATTGCTTACTGTGCTTTTTAAAATTTTTAAATAAGAATGAAATGTATTTTTGATAGGAATTTAAAGTCAACTTTGCACACCTGTTTAGATATCTAATTTTAATGCGAAGGCTATAAAGATTTTTATTGTATAATTAGGAATGTATTTGAAATGGTTTTGTACGATATATTTATATATTTAAATTTATGGTTCAATTCTATAGAATCAATAACAGAGAGCTTTAAAATATTTATGATAATCTATTAATAGTAATAAATAAATTCTATAAATTTATAAAATAAAATCTAAATGCAATATACTTGTTTTTTGGTATCCCAAATTCCTAATCCCATCTATTTATACATTTTCCATCCCTAAAAATGTTATTATCTTTTGCAGACAATTGTTCATTGGCTCCACAATGAATGCCACCTCGCCAAAGTCATCTCTGGTCAAGTTGGGCCTGCATACAAACAAACAAAAGACGCTCAAGGTTATGGTCCTGGGTCAAAGTGGCGTGGGAAAAACGGGTGAGTTTCCACCAACCCCCTTCGAGAAATGCCTTAAGAAACCCAAATTCAATGGACCTAACTCCCTAACTTAGCCATGGTGGTGCGTTTTATTACCCGTCGCTTCATTGGGGAATATGATCCCAATTTGGAGAAATATACACCTGCCAAACCACGCTGGACAAGGAGCAGATTCAGTTTGACATTCTGGATGCCACCGGTCAGCTGCAAGTGAGTGAAATGACTTTTTAAATATATTTAGATTCTATTCTGGTTAATATTCTTACAGGAACTAGATGGAGTCAGCCTGGAGTCCAATATACGCTGGGCCGATGCCTTTATCCTCATGTACTCCATCACTGACAAGTGTTCCTTTGACGAGTGCAGTCGCCTAAAGTTCCTGATTAATTACAACAAAAAGACGCAAGCTGGGATCAGCCAGTAAAGTAAGTAATAATTATAAATCTTTAAGTCTTTAAAGCTCACTCTTAATATTTATTTTTAT